TCCAGGCCCAGGCTTCCTCTGGGTCTCTCCCTCAGGGCCTTCCCTTCTCTCCCACGCCCCTCTCTCTGCCTGCTGCCTGTAGATCACGGTGTGAGCTCTCATGCCTGTCATGACACTGCCACTACACCCTGCCATGATGATAACGGGCTCATCCTCTGAAACCGCAGGCAACTTCGCCACCCACCCACGCCCAATTAAATGCTTTCTTTTAAAAGTTGCCTTGGCAATGGTGTCTCTTCACAGCAGTAGAACAGTAAGTAAGATAGCAATTTGATGGGCTAGGAATATGGCCCAGTTGGGAGAGTAGTTGCCTATTTTAATTGTCAACACCACATTACCAGGCTCGCTAGCATATGTGTGTAATCTCAACACTTGGAAGGCAGAACAGGAGGATTAAGAGTTCAAGGTTATCTTTGGCTACAGAGTGAGTTCAGGGCTAGCTGGGGCTACATTAGAACTTGTCTCAAAAATAAAACAAACAACCAAAACCCCCACATATATCCCACTTGACACAATCTAGAGTTAAACTGGGAAGAGAAACCTCAGTTGAGAAAATGCCTCCATTTTCTGAGGTAGGTGTATAGTGCATTTTCTTGATTAGTGATTATGTCTAGCCAGACTGGGGAGATAAGGGTCAGTGAGAGATCTTGATTCAAGAAATGAGGTGAGAGAAATAAAGAACCTACGTGGCCTTGCGTCTGGCCTCCACACAGGTGCCCCCAAAGTGATCAAATACATGAGTGCGCATGCACACTTTTGCATCTCAAGACAAGGCAACAAAGCTTCAGTTTGGCGTATGACTACTGTCTTTGTATATTTCTGCTGTCACGACAAAACGCCTTAGGCTGAATGATTTATAAGGGTAGAATTTTATTTCTGACAGTTCTAAAGCAGAGGAGTCTGAGATACGTCCTCATACAGTGAAAGGACTGTAGTGAGTCTTTCTCTGTGCCACCAGCCAGGTCCCAAATAATGACACAGAGACTTACTCATTATGAAAGCTTAGCCTTTAGTTTATGCTTGTCTCAACTAACTCTTACAACTTAAATTAACCCATATTTTTTAATCTGTGTTCTGCCAGGTGGCATTACCTCTCTTCCATCTTGCAATTCTTGTTTCCTCTCTGTGTCTGGGTGGTGACTCTGCCTTTCTTCTTTCCAGAGTCCTCTCTGTCTCCAGAAGTCCCACCCAACATCTTCCAGCCTAGCTATTGGCAGTTCAGCTCTTTACTAAACTAGTCAAAAGGTACCTTGACAAAGATACATCTTCACAAAGTAAACAAATATTCTGCAACATTTCCCCATTTTTGTCTAAATAAAAAGAAAAGGGTTTAACTCTAACACAGTAGAAATTATATATAATAAAAACAATTACCAAGTAAGAATTTACAATATCCAGTCCATTTGTATGTGGCAATTTTGGAGAAAATACTCCATTATTGATCCTATCTTGATGAATTCAAAGTTTTATACCTAAACTACTTTTTTGGGTTTTTTTTTTTTTTCTCTGTGTAGCTTTGGAGCTTATCCTGGCACTCACTCTGTACACCAGGCTGGCCTTAAACTCACAGAAATCCACCTGCCTCTGCCTCCTGAGTACTGGGATTAAAGGTGTATTCCTGGATCCTAAACCACGTTTTATCATAACTTACATTAATATCTTTTTAGACTCCAAAACATTTTCTTAGATAAACAAGTTAAGCTTTTATGTCTCTCAACCCTACATATTTTACACCTCTTTGGTGAGTTTTTTCTGAATTTGGTAACAAGGAAAACTATAACTATCTACTCTTCAATCCCCATAAGAGACTTAAGAAGGATATAATATTGCCTGAGAAAATAGGAAGTAGAGAGCAACTTCTAAAACTATAGAAAAAAACAGAAACAGCTGGCTGCCTGGACAGTCACCAAGGAAAGTCCTCTGTAATGTTGGGGCAACCATCTTCAGCCTATGAGCCTAGAATATCTGACAGACTTTTCTGTGAAGCAGAAATTTTGAAGGATTGTCCTACCTTGTCTTGGCAAAGATTGGCAGTCACTTTCTTTTGTGTCTTGCTTGTCCAATTTGGACAGCATACTGTCAGCAATTGAGGCAAGGGTAGTTTCTTGCTCAGTGGCTAACTTTTCCACAAAGAAAGCAAACTCCATATGGAGATTATTCAATGCCAAACATCCTTTTTTGAAGCAAATTGATGCTGCCAGAAGCAGACCTGTCTTGTTGTCATAAAAGCCTTATGTTATTAAAACATTTAAATGCCATTTTTGTAGATCTTTGAAGTGTTTGAGGACAAAATATCTATCTAAAATATATCTCTTAATGACCTTGAAAACATACCTAACATGACTGCAAGTTTGATTGTTATAGATGACTAACTGCTAATTTGTATTTCTTTATTATCCTAAATAGTTTTCAAGGATTAGAACTTGACATTACATTTTAAAATGAGCTGCATAGGCACAATGCCTTAAATAAAGGGAGAAACATATGCACAGTATAACAAAAATAACCTTAAATTTGTATCAATATATAGAATTCCATATCGATGTAAAATTTGAGGCTAGTGGTTATTCAAAAGTGGACTCAATAATCCACTCCTTTTATACCATCATTTCTATATATATCCTCCCTTCAGAAAGAGATGCCTGAATCTAATCTCCTTTGTTCATCTTTTTTCCTGACCATGACCGATAACAACTTGTAACCAATGCTCCTAAGTGATGATAAACATCCATAACCCACCGAATGACCAAAAACCACCAACTCCATCTTGTTGTGTTCTCTAGACTACTTTCTGTTGTCTGGAGGTGACAGCATCTTTAGGGGACCCTAAGAAAATTGTGATAATGGTCAAGTCCTGGGAGAGATAGTTGTTTTCTAGTCTTGGTGTGATGGGAAAATGTAGGGCTTTTTTGAAGTCTTGACTGGATAGTTTGTGAGGCTGGACCATCTCAACCAGCAGCCTTGAAGTTGTTCTAGATGCAGAATTTTGAGGAAACCGCAACAGAGGCACTCTGTGAGGCTGGATCACCTGGGCTACTTGCTTTCATTGGTATTTGGTCTTTTTGTTCTGAAAGCATGCACACTTATAAAGATAGCATATATATCTGCATTAACACAAGTATGGAATATGTGGTGTCCACAAATCAGCTAAAGATGATTTTCTGTTTTATGTTTGAGCAGGTAAAAGTCATCTGTTAACTTTCTAAGTCTGTTTGAACTGCATAACCAAACTGTAACATAAACCTCCATCCATCCATATGAAAGGATGGCATGTAATATTAAGTCATGAGGGCTCTGTAGCCAACAAGATTTATCATGTCTCATCCACTCTCAGAACTGTTCCCATGTAGAGGAATCAGCATATACGTCACCTATCTTGTAGTCTTTTTTTTTTTTTTTTTGGTTTCTTTTTTTATGTCTGTAGCCAAGATTTTCAGGTCTCTCCCAACCAAATTTGATCTTTGTTATTTTTTAAGAGAACCTGTGGAAACAAAGGCATAACCTCTCCCCTGATGCAACGTATTTTCTGACTTCCATTTTGAAGTTAAGACATTTAAAGATTATATAGGTTGGTTTAATGTAGCAGTTTCCACAATCCAGTGTCTTTCAGCAGCTATTGCTTTTTGTACATTAGCTTTTAAAAATTCGAAGTCAACAAAACACCATATAGGACCCAGACTCCCTGTGTATTTTCCATTCTTATGTGGCTTTTTTAAAAAGAGATTTTATTTATTTATTATGTATACAACATTCTGCTTCCATGTATATCAGCACCAGATCTCATATCAGATGGTTGTGAGCCACCATGTGGTTGCTGGGAATTGAACTCAGGACCTCTGGAAGAGCAGTCAGTGCTCTTAACCTCTAAGCCATCTCTCCAGCCCCAGTGGCTTATTTTTTTATTGCTTTACTTTTTCTTTAAAGACTTTATTATTTTAAAACTATTTAACTTTAAAACTATGACTTTCTATATCCGTTTTCCACTGTAACTCTTTAGAGGTTTTCTCCATCTGGACCATTTACTGCACACCTGTAGCCTTCTCTGAACACATGAGGAGCCAAGCCATAAACCTGCAGCTCCACTCCAGCTGAGCTGGAAGCTGGGCTCTGTCCTGCTCTGGCCCATGAGAGCCAAGCTTTATGCCCGCAGCACCAGCCATGGGCAGCATTTACCTGCCCCAGCTCTGGGAATTTGCTGACCCATGTTGTTTCTACTTAGTGTGCCACAAGTGCCCACTGTCCAGCAGCTGTGCCTCTGTGAGCTGCAAGCACTGGGTTTCTAGGAAGCTGCCTCATTTTTTGTTTGTTTTGTTTTTTTAAGATTTCTCAGGCTCTATATGGAAATAGCGCCCGGAGGTTGGACGCCGTACATAACTAGTCTTTCTCTGTCCCACCAGCCAGCTCTCAAATAATGACACAGAGGCTAATTATTCATTATGAAAGCTTGGCCTTTAGCTTAGGCTTGTCTTTACCAGCTCTTACAGCCTAAATCAACCCATTCACATTAATCTATGTTTTATCACTTGGTGTTACCTCTCTTCCATCTTCACCTTCTGTTTCCTCTCCATGTCTCCTGGATGCCTAGATTCTCCTCTTCCTTTCTCTCCCTGAAATCCTGCCTATCCCTCCTGCCTAACTATTGACTGTTTAGCTTTTTATTACATGAATCACAGCAAATGCATCTTCACACTGTATACAAATATCCCACAGCAAAGGACTGGAGGGGATGAATTTGCTTCAGAGGAGAACTAATCTAATTATCCTTCAAGTCCAAGCCATCCCCATAAGCATCACCTATCTCTTAATACCATGGCCTTGAAGTTAAGTTCCAAGGTAGGAATTGTGAATAGGCACCTTCATGATACAGCAATTGCCCAGCTACTGACTACATTTCCCAACCTCCCTTGCAGCCAGGCGTGGTCACAGGACTAAGCTCAGGCCAATGGGAAGTGAGGGGCAGCAACCTCTGCGTTTATCCTTTTCCTTCCTGCTTGTTTCAGTGAGCAGGAGCTGGAGGGGGAAAGGAGTCTGTTCCTCCAACTGAGCTGAGGAGAGGCCACTGTACCACCTGGGCTGCTGCTGCTAGGCTGTTTCTTCAAAGATAATAAACCTTGATCTTATTGAAGCCAGAGTCATGAAGAGGGTCTCTTTTCTCCCTCTGCTTCCTGCTTTGACAGATCCCTTTCCTGAAGCAATGAGGGTAGAACGCTTTGTCCCAAAGCCCCAGGTGGCTTTCAGGATGAAGACTGTTCTGTGCATGTCCCTGGAGCGTCCTGCTTCTGGCTGGGTACTGGATGGAACCCCTGCAGCTGCCCTCTACTCGCAGCAGTCTTCCCACTGGCCACCTCTGAGCCCCCAGTTCAACCCTACTTGACCCAGCAGACATCTGTCTCCCCCAGGCTGTGGATCCAAGGAAGGTGGAGACCACATCTGTTGAGCAGCTTCCAGCAGCACCTGGTGCATGAGACTGCTTTAGTCGGTTGGAAAAAGTATGTAAATGGGGGAAGGTGTTATAAAGCCAGGGGCTTTTGTTAGTCTTTTTTTTTTTTTTTTTAAGCAAGTGACAGATCTGCCACTCAAAGGCTAGTGACAAAAGAGTTGGGTATGACAGAGCTGAGAGGTGTGGTGCGGGACAGACTTCTCCCTCCATTGCTGTCTGCTTTTCCTATTGAAGCTTTAGAAAGGGCAGCATACTCCTGCAGGCTGTCTTCCTCCAGCCACTACAGGGTCAGGGTTTCCTACTTTATTAATTGTTCCAGCAAAAGTTCACGCACTCATGGACTAGTACAACCTGTGTCGTGAGACCCCCCCCCCACTATGTAAGATCCAATTATCAAGACCCTGCTAGCCTTATACTTGGGGTGACCTCTGAGTTGATCAGGATGAACATTCAGGAAGGAGATGCGGTAGGGCATAGGGGCTTCCCCAGCCCGGATAGAGGAGAGACATGGTGTGGGTGGAGGTGGGGACAGGAAAGCTTGTATTGTGTCCTGAGTTTGACTTCTGTGAGAGAACAGCCTGAATGGTAATGAGAGCACAGGCCTGTGAGGCTGACTGAGGCTGTGTGTACACTAGCTGAGGAAACTTGGTTGCTTCAGGACTTTATCCAGTCTTTGCCACCCACTTGGAAAGTGGAGAAATGGCATCCTAAGTGACAGGGACCTTGCGGGGACTTCACAGGAAGCAACATAGAAGGAGGGGCTGTGTAATAAAGTGGAGAGGCTTGGAAGCGTTGGGAGCGAGAAAGGTATCTGGAGCCATGCTGGAAAATCCCTTTTCATTTTTTATTTCCCAACCCCAGCTGGCCTTGAACCTGTGATCCTTCTATTACAACCTCCTGAGTGCAAGGTTTCCAGGGTGCGCCCCCCCCCAACAGTAAATCCATTAAACATTCTGAACAGGTGCTGCTTGAAGGACTGGCCCCGACAGATGACAATGCCACTTTGTCAAGAAAAGGCTTGTTTTCTCTAAGGACATGAAGCCAGAAAAGGGGACAGTGCCCCTTGAGGACCAGATGGGAGCAAGCATGTCCCTCTGTGTCCTGAGCTCACAGCTCTGAGGATGAGCAGAAATGTCATTCATCATTGCAGAGCTCCTTGTTGGCAAGTGGTTAGAGCTGACTGCTCACATGTTAATCCCACTGGATGACAGTAAAGACCATTAACCAAAATGTGTTAGTCAAATTAAGCAAGATTTATTTTCTGCCAGACAGGGCTGTCTCCCTAACATGGGGTTTGAAAGAACAGCATGCAACACAGGAGAAAGTGGGGTTTATATCGCTTAAAACTGTTAAGACTTGGATTATGGGGTCTGTTTGTTTGGGGTTTGGGGTTTTGGTTTTTCAAGATAAAGTTTCTCTGTGTAGCCCTGACTGTCCTGGAACTCACTCTGTAGACCAGGCTAGCCTCAGCTCAGAGATCCACCTGCCTCTGCCTCCTAAGTGCTGGCATCAAAGGCAAGAATCATCACCACCCACCAACTTGGGGGACAGTTCTAAAGGTTGGGGGATTTCCAGAAGAACTTAGCAGGACATTTCAAAATTATTTGGCAGAACGTCTTATCTTATGAGGGTGGGTACAGGTCAAGACTCTGTCAGGTGCGAACCAAGTCAAATTTCAAGAAGATTCAAGTTAAATTCTAAGACATAGAAACTTAAAGGATTTGTTGTTGTTTTATTTTGTTTTGTTTTGTTTTCTAGAGACAAGATCTGTTTGTGTAGCCCTTGCTGTCCTGGAACTCACTCTGTACACCAGGCTGGCCTTAAACTCACAGAGATATGCCTGCTTCTGCCTCCCCAGTGGTGGGAGCAAAGGTGTGCACCACCACCACCCAGCTGAAACTTGTTTTATAGGAACAGAAATGACCTTATTTTTGACCTTGTAACAAGATGACTACCAATCTTGAAATGGAGTCAGGCTGGTTCATCACATGCCATCCCCCAAAAAGAATTTTGGATGGTGTGGCAGTTAAAATGAGATTTTCTGCAAGGAACAGAAAATCTCTAATTAATACTGCTTTTAAAAGACAGATGTGAAGTCAGGTGTGGTGCACACCTTTAGTCCCAGCACTGAGGAGGCAGAGGCAGGTAGATCTCTGATTTTGAGGCCAGTCTGGTCTACAGATCAAGTTCCAGGACAGACAGCCAGGGCTACACAGAAAAAACCCTGCTATAAAAAAAAAAAAAAAAAAAAAAAAAAAAAAACTAAAAAAGAGAAGAGAGTCCTAGAGGTGGACAGCCATGGTAGATACTTCAAAATGGATCTCCCCTGACCCCAATATAGAACTTCCTCTCACTTTATGACTGGGGAACTCAAGCCCAGAAGACAAAGAATGGCTTACTGACAGCTGTCAATCAATATAACAGCAGCTGCAAAAGAAGCAAAACCTCTGTTGAAGGAAATTGATGGCCAGAGACCCCAGGTGGGAAAGCAGCAAGCCTTCAGTTGCCACAGCAAACAAACTCTCTGCAGACTTAAGGTCTGACAGCCCTTCCCTGAATCTCTCCTTATTTTTGTGCTCACGTTCAGCCAACCAGAGTCAGCTTGTTTCCCAGTAGAGCTGGGTTAGTCTGAGGTTTCAGTACTTCTGGGCCTGGTTGCTGGTTCCCTGCTCCAGCAGCTGGAAATGAGAAGGACTCACGTGAGTGGCCATCCGTTTTATCCTTTTCAGTTGTTAGGTCCTAAGTTAGTAATACAGTACCGCCCCCTTTGTACTCTTTGTACTGCCTCCTCCATTCTTGGAGAGGGAAAGACGAGAGCCCACTTGGGTGACAGGAGATGGTCCCTACAATCACCTCACCAAGTCGTAGACCATCCATTGACCTGGGGCCCCAGGGAACAAAGACACATCTCAAACTTCACACCCTGGAGCTTCTGTTGCTTCCTGGAAGCTGAAGGGAAAGGGAAAGAAAGACCGGATGTGGGCAAAGGTGACATTTTTTAGGCTACACACTGCGGCTTCAGTGGAGCCTGCATTTGACTGGGTCAGAGTGTGGAGCAGTTCACACCTCAGATGACTGCTACGACAGCAATGCAGTCATCTCAGTGGCTTTTGGTGTGGTCAGGGGAAGACAACAGAGAGAGAGAGAGAGAGAGAGAGAGAGAGAGAGAGAGAGAGAGTTGCCAGTGTCCCTCCAAAGGGAACCGAGGCAGCCGCCAAAGCTAGAGAGAGGTAGAGAGAGAGCTGTGTGGTTGCAAGGTGACATCGCCAATAGGGTACCCCCCAACTCATCAGCAAACAAATCCTGATGTGGAGATAAGGGTCAGGGAGGCAGTACTAAGGGCCAGGGAGCTGCTGCAGTGGATGGTCTAAAATATCCCTTTTCAAAACAAAAGAAGTGTGAAGAAATGAAAAATGGGGGCAACAAAGAGTGTGTGCTAAGACTTGGTATTCTAAGCCAGTACTTTGAATTTAACAGGTATGATGTTGCCCTCAAAAAAAAACACAAAACAAAAACCAAGAGAAGCAACTAAATTCTCAATTAAAAATGTCAGGATAGCCGGGCGTTGGTGGCACACGCCTTTAATCCCAGCACTCGGGAGGCAGAGGCAGGCAGATCTCTGTGAGTTTGAGGCCAGCCTGGTCTATAGAGCGAGTGCCAGGATAGGCTCCAAAGCTACACAGAGAAACCCTGTCTCGGAAAAAAAAAAAAAAAAGTCAGGAATGCATGATGACAGTGTCACAATAATAGAGAATGTCAATGAAGACACAGAGTATCTTTTTAAAAGCAAATAGAGATCTGAGGGTGTCAGTCAGTGATAGGCCCCAGTGCTACATGCGAGACTCTGACTTAAATCCCGGTACTTGAAACAATGGGCATTGCTGCTCTTCTGGAAGACCAGACAGAGTTTGGTTCCCGGCACCCACACTGGGTGGCTCACAACTGCCTGTGACTCCAGCTCCAGGGGTTCTGACACCCTCCTCTGCAGGTACCGGCACACCTGTGGTATATGCATGTACACATAAATAAAGTTTAAAAAAGAAAAACAAGGAAAATTGCAAATGCTAGAGAACGGCCATCGTAGGTTTTAAAGTGGCTGAAGAAAGAATTGATGACTTTGAAAGTAGTTTGAGAGATCATTTTACTCAGTGTATAAAGAGAGAATGAAGACAAAGACTCCAAATCTAAGCATACCAGCATTTGCTCGATGGAAATGTTCAACATTGTCCAGTGAGAGGAGACAGAAGTAAAGAAAAATATTTGCTACAGTTAAGAACGAGAACTTCCTAGTGTTCTGACAGTTTAATTAATTCCAAGCTGGACAGACATGACCACCCATGAAGTGGACATGGCGGGGTCAAAACACCAGAGTCAAGAGCAATGATGAGATCTCAAAGACAGCAGGAAAAAGTGGGCCTGCTTTCTTGGGAGAAAGTGTCACACTGCAACTAGGGGGACAGGGTGATGGGAACACAGAGAAATTGTAGATGGCCCTGGGATGGCACCTTAAGTGCGATGACAGATGAGATAAAGACATTTCCACACAAACAAATCCTGAGATGATCCATGGGAAGCAGACCCATCAGAAACACCAAAGGAAGTGCTTGGGGCAAGCCAGACGCAGGTGACTTCATACAGTGAGCAAACTCACAAAACAAAAGCCAGAGAACCAATAAAGTAACAATTTTTTTTTTTTTTTGGTTTTTTCGTTTTTCGAGACAGGGATTCCCTGTGTAGCTTTAGAGCCTGTCCTGGAACAAGCTCTTGTAGACCAGGCTGGTCTCAAACTTACAGAGATCTGCCTGCCTCTGTTTCCCAAGTGCTGGGATTAAAGGTGTGTAACAATGCCATTTTAATAGAAATAGAATTATACTCAATGTAATTAAAAGTGAAATACAGTAAGTACATACATACATTCTTCTTCATTTATCTTAAGCAGTTGTACAAAACAGTATGTATAACATAATGTACTATTGAGTTTCTACTGTATTCAAATGTTACATTTAGTACAAAGGGGGAAAAAAAAAGACAGGAGACACAGAAAATAAACAATGAAAGTGCCAAGATACAAATCCAGTCACACCACTCAAAACTTTAAGGATGAGTGGGACAATTCAGTCAGAGATTGTCGGGGCTGAGGGGAAGCTCACTGGTGGCATGCTGGCATAGTCTGTATAAAGATATTAACACAATACCCAGTATGGAGGTGCGGGAACGCCAGAGAGTGTCACCCAAAGAAACAAGCCCAACTGCACGTTGTCTACGGAGGTTCACTTTAGAGTCAGATTATGGAAACAGAAGTGTTCTAACTGCCACTAGAAGCCTGCATGGGCTGTGTATGAGGCAAAATGGATTTCAGAGCACTGGGGATGCAGCTCGACAGTAGAATCCTTGCCTAGCATAACAATAAATAAATAAACCAACAAATACTTTTAGTTAGGTTGAATTTTGATTTGTTCCGGGTTTTTTCCTTTTCTTTCTTTTCTTTTCTTTCTTTCTTTCTTTTTGAGTCACCTGTGTTCCTGCAGGTAACCCCTCACCTGTGCGCCTGTGAGTAAATACTCACCTACGTTCCTGTGAGTGACCCCCACCCATGCTCCTGTAAGAAACCTCTCATGCCTGTGCCTGTGAGTGACCCCAGGAAAGCCATCGCTTCACCGAGTTGGACTTCATGGAATTCTTTTGGTGTGTCATTGTTTCCCCCCTATCTGGGGGAAACAGACTTTTTCTTCTGTGTCCTCAGGAAAAGTCACCACAACAGAGCCATTCTCGTCATCATATGAGTCCACTGTAGCCCAAATGTCACACAACTATACCTGGGTAATAAATACAGAGGCAAAAGGCTAAGAATAAAAGCAAAGTCCCTACACTTTGGGCTGGTGAGATAGTTCAGCAGGTAAAAGCACTTGTCTAACCAAGCACACAAGCCTAACCACCCATGTCCCACTCAGAACCCACAGCAGAAGGAGACAACCGCCACCCAAAAGTCCTCTGACCTTCACACATGCACCTTGTGTACACACACACACCAAAAAAAAAAAAAAAAAAAAAAATACAAGAATTGACTTGCAAGTTGCCACACTTCAACAAGTGGGCCAGGACCACTTGAATCTGGGGCCCAGTTGCTCCGAGGCCTTCTGCAGTCGTCTGTAGCCTCACTCCTCACAACCCATGGCCCTAACACAAATGGTCAGTCTGAAGAAAGACAACTTAGGGGCTAGAGAGTGAGTCAACAATTAAGAACTCAGGGGCTTGCTTTTAATTCCCAGCACCAGTGCCAGGTGGCTCACAACAGCCTGTAACTCCAGTGCTGGGGGATCCAATACCTCCGGCCTCCGTACCCCAACACATACACACATGCATACATATAATTAAAAATAATAAAATAAATCAAAACAAGACAACTTTATACTTAACAAGATCCAATGGCAATAAAGTAAAGGATAAAATACACGTAATTATCTTAAGATATGGAGCACCCATATACGAGAATAATACTCAGAGGGATGACATTCGATGTATGCTACCATGTGGGTAAAATTTCAAAGCATTATGCATAAGAAAGAGGCTTGTTACAAAATAAACTATGGAAACTGCATTTTTTTTCTCAATGAATTTGCACCTTCCCATATCCATTCCATTAAAATAACAAATGCATAGCCTATCTGACAAAGGGACTCTGCATCTTTGGATTCTCCAAGGCAACCGTGTAAGGCTGGAAGGCAGTAAAGACTTCCATTGTCTAGAACAGTGAAACAACGGAAATAACCTCGGCATCCAGTCCTGGGCGAGGGAGCTAAATAAGGCCTGACACATCGATTCACTAAACAATGCAGGAGCTGAGGCAAACAGGTCGTCTTAGTAGTTTCACAAGTCGGCCTCAGATACACTGGAGTAGAAAGAACAAGGTAAAGTATGTTGTATAATGTCTAATGCAAATTCTGACAGAATCACCCCCCTCACTAAGGATAAAGGAGACTGAGAGTGCTGGGAACCATGGCACATTCCCCAGCTTCAGGGCTGGCAGTCTGAGCTGTAGGTAGCTGCTCAGCGAGACTGGAACAAGGCCTGCTTTTCCTCTCTCCTCCTCCATCTGTGTCACCCTCAGAACTGAGAGCTGAGAAGGCTATGGGCACCCAGGGCACCAGGGGGAGACAGGGCTGGAGTCCCATTCTAGGTAAACAGGGCTTTCACCCAATTAGGGCCACTCATCCCTGGTTGGGAGATGTGGAGGAGGCTGGGATGGATGGAGGACTGTGAGACCCACTTAGCTCCAGGATCCCTCTGGCTGTGCTGAACATCCTTCTCGGGAGTGTCTGACTATGAGGTTGTGGCGTGTGTGGCTCCAGGATGCTGCCCCACATTGCTTTGGTGAATCCCGGGACAGCAGCAGGGTGGATAAAGCTCCTCTCTCCCCGAGGACTTGTCTTCACCCTGCTGTGGGAGCTCTGAACAGGAGAAAGAGCCAATGTGGAGCCTTTCATAAAGCTTGCTGTCTCACCTGGGGAGGAGGGCGACACCACCCTGTCCTCCAGTTGGCCACCACAGTTCCTTGGAGCATGCTCTCAGGCCCCCTCAAGGGTTGGTCTCACTCTCATAAGGTGACCTCTGGGGGCTATAAGAAGCCAACTATCACTTTAGGTCTGCAGCTAGCTGGGTACCCGGACCATCCACCTCTGCTCCCTGGGAGCACCTCAAGGTGGTTTCCGTAAGTTGGGGACATTGCATAACTTCACCAACTGCCATGCCGGATATATTTTGCAACCCAGGCCACTGTGCCACACATGCTGGTTGGCACAGCCAGGCTTCCCGCAGAGGCCGGAGGAAGTCTGAGAGTGAGAGGTACTGACTGACTGCACCCCCTGACACCTGGGATCCCCAGGCTGCCCCTCCTTCTGTAGGCCACACTTGGACCCAGCTGGGGTTGATGGCCCCACTGTTCTGCTTCAGAGGGGAGATGAGACATTTACGTGCCAATCAGAGGGGTTTGGGCTTCTGAGAAGCCACCATCATGTGTCACAGGCTTTTCTTGGAGTTCAAGTGGAGATACAGACTCAAAGTCCCATTGGGAGAGTTCACCTCACCTACCCCATGGACTGACTCCCACCATATTAGGCAAAGACCGAGAATTCATAGGGTAAAGCTTAGCCATGTTCAAGGACACATACAGGGAGTTTCAGGGACTTGGCAGATATTCTGGTCATTGGGAGGATGTGAGGGTTCCCTGGTGGGTAAAGGAAGAGATCTCTCTCTCCTCATCCTGTGCACCTCTCAACATGGTCAGTATGAGCAGGTGACCAAGCCAGCTCAGTCTTGGCTCTCTCCACATGTTCCCATGGGCCATCGGACCCAGTTGTTGGGACCCCATGGATTCAGAGAAGAGGATGTTCCCAATGCTCTGAGTTTCTCCCAGAGCATGGCCAGGGGTCACGGGGAAAGTGGGAGCAGACAAGGTATGGGGACACATCTCCTTCCTGGTTTGGGTTATCATTGGACACAGGGCAGGCTGGGTTGCACACTCCTGATGTGTCCCCTCACTATGGGAAGAGCTGTTTGCGGAATCCATTCTTAAAACAACACTGAGGAAAAAGAGCTGCTCCCTGAAGGTCAGACATCTGCTTGGGGACAGCCTGGTTCTGATGACTGGCCAGGACACAGCCCCCTGCTCTGCTCTGGCTGCAGGATACCCAAAGGTGCCCTAACTCTAGCTCTCCTCCAAGGCCCACACTGCTGCACAGTCCTCCCCAGCCCTCCCCAGCCCTCCCCAGCCCTCCCCAGCCCTCCCCAGCCTTCCCTGCTCATCCTGCCCCTTCACTTTCCAAAGAGATGCCTGCTTCAGAACTTTCTTGGAGTCTCTTCTCTGGGGAGCCAACCTAGCAGGGAATCTGCTGGACCACAGAGCAACCAGACCCAGGATATGGATGTTCGGTTCCATCTGGGAGTGTCTGCCTCTCCATGTTGGTCGGCTCCAGCCCGTGATGTCCTGGATGTCTTGTAGGCTGCAAGAAACTGGTATGGCACCCTCAGGTTTGAAGGAGAACGGCTTAGACAGGTTTGTGCCCATCAGGGTTTCTCTATCGAGATCCCTAGGAGACCTGAGGGCATGTCACATGACAGAGCTTGGGTTGAGTCTAAATACCTCTGCATTGGTCTGTTTTGGAAATCTCTATAGTATGCCAAGGGCAGGGAAGGCTTCTGGTCACCTTTTAATTCCCATAGTAAAGGGGACACCTGTGAAACTACCTCCATGCAAAACCAAGACCGCCACCAGCACTTCCCTACCCACAATGCAGCAGGAGTGATGCCATGGACAGGAACAGAGGGACCACTGTGCTGGTTAAATAGTTTTGTCACCTTGACACAAGCTAGAGTCCTCTGGGAAGAGGGAATCTCAGCTGAGGGATTGCCTCCATCAGTTTGGACTGTATGCAAGGGGTGTTTTCTTGATTAACAATTGATGTGGGAGGGTCCATTCCAGCGTGGGTGGTGCCATACCTGGGCAGGCGGCCCTGGGTTGTATAAGAAAGCAGGGTAAGCAAGCCAGAAGGAGTGTGCCAGTAAGCAGCCCCCCTCCACGGTTCCTGTCTCTGCTCTTGCTTGAGTTCCTGCCCTGACTTCCCCCAGTGATAGGCTGTGTGTGATGTGGAAGTCTGAGCCAAACAAATCCTTTCCTCCCCAAGTTGTTTTTGGTCATGTTTTAGCACAGAATAGAAAGAAAATTAGACTCGGGAGACAAAGCGGGGTGGATCTCTATGAGTTTGAGGCCAGCCTGGTCTGCATAGTGAGTTACAGGCCAGCCTCGGAGGTGGGGGGGGGGCTGCATCTAAAACAAACAAACAAGCAAGCAAACAAACAGCAGCAAACTAGGACATGTGCTCACTGATGCCCTTCAGTTACTCAACAAGGAGTCACAAACCCTCTCAAGGAAGAACTGAAGAAGGGCTACATAGAACTGAAGACTATAGGTGTGGCTTGATCCAGGGCCTTCAGAGATAAGCTTTATTTTCTGTGGTTGGGGTCTGTTTCCTTTTGGGGGAATATTCTTGGGAATCCTCTCAATTTGTGTGGCATTATTCCAGTCATTCCAGCATGCCACACATACAGTCGTGGGGTGCAGAGTAGGGCCTTCATCTCATTCTAGCTGCACAAAGCCCTGGACTCACCTTGACCAGTTTATTGATGGGGCTCTGCCATCCATCAGTCAATCTCTGTGGCTTGAAGGAATTTCAGGGTCCTAATTGGTCACAGCTCACATTCCCCTGTATTTACAGAGCATCTGCCTGGTGTTAGGCCCTGTCTCAGGTTCTCGGATTACAGAGATACGTTGATCATTCATTCATCCTCACAAACTCACTTCCCGTTCCCGTAAAGTCAGCTGCACAGTCTGCTTTCAAATAATCCATTATCTGATTTGATTCACATGAAGATCGTGTATAGAGACTGTTAGAGACAGTAGCTTATCTGCAGATAAGCTAGCAGAGTCCAGAGGGTTGGATAGTTCACGGACAGTAGATGCCTGATAAACCCTGACCTGGGGGAGGAGCAGATGCCAGCGGGCCTCAGCTTGCCTGGCTGGAGGTAGCAGAGGGTTGTAGACTGCAGAGGAGCCAAAGCCCCTGCACCCAAGTGGGAGGAAACTGAGGTGCTACAGCTGCCTGCAGCTGGGAGCCCAGCACGGCCCACCAGGGTCTCCAAGCTGTAGGACTTACAAGGTTCCTTTACCAACAGCTGGCAGACTGGCTCTGGGAAGTTACTGTTCCATGCCACAGAGACAGACATGGGCATTTTTTATGAAGTAGGTTGGGGATGTCATTCTGCTCCTCCATCCTGGCTGTTCCTCTCCACCCTCAGACAGATTTGCTGGATTTCCTTTCATCATTTTTTAGTGGTCCCCTGAATGGGAACGTGACTGTGTCAACTCCATGATCATCACAAGAACATCCAGGGGACAGAGAGGAAGGTCCCCACTCCTAGAGTCTATAAGAAGAGTGAGCCCTGCCCCTAGAGTCTCCTCCTGTGGCCATGCAGCCATAGTCATGGTCCTCACCTAATCCACAGGACTCAGTTATATCCAACGGAACAAATATGGCAGTAAGCCAAACCAGAGTGAAGCTAGTTTATGTCTCAGGGTAGAGTGTGAGGTGATGTGGCTGACTTGTGTGCCCACAGTAACACAGTCCCAGATTCTTCCTGCCTCATGTTATTGCCATTTTATTTGGAGACTTTCTCATGATACATGGTGCACTGACTCCACCTACCACACCTATCCCAGCCAGCTGGAAATGGGGAAGGTCCCAGAGATAGTCCACTGTGCTCTAAAGCAAGGAGCTGCTAGATCAGTGTTTCTCAACCTGTGGGCCATGACCCCCTTTGGCAACCTTCCATCTCCAAAAATATTTACATTTCAATTCATAACAGTAGAAAAATTACAGTTATGAAGTAGCAATGAAATAATTTTATGGTCAGGTGTCACCACAACATGAGGAAATGTATTAAAGGGTCTCAGCATTAGGAAGGTTGAGAACCACTGCTCTGGATGGGACAGTTGTGGAGGTGGCCGTGGGCTGGAGTCCAGTTGTGAACAACAAAAGACTGTAA